AACATGCTCTGCCCTCACACACGCGGAGCCCGAGCATATTCTTCCACCGAGTGCAGCCAGAACGCAACGTGGAGTGAAACAAATGCCCGTCTGGGAGGTTTTTTTTTTTTTTCTTTTTAATGTTTTCAACTAGCTTTATGAGCAGAAAGCTCCCGCTTTTTCTTGATAACAATCATCTTCTAAAACACACAGAGAGACAAACTTTTTCTGTCGTCTGTCTTTTAGGGGAAGAATGAAATATTGCTCCTCCAATAACCTGGAATCTTTAGGGATTACAACCTTCATATCTGCTAATTAAAATCCTTTAATATCTACCAGGCCCATATAAGTGACATTTACTGTGACATTTTAGGTGGTTTGTCTGCTCTTTAACTGTCTGTCAGAAGAATTGTGTGAACACAGAGCTGCAGACCTGTGCTCCTCTAACAGCCCAGGGATGATGATGATGATGATGATGATGATGATGATGATGCTACTCGGGGTCCCTGATGGGGGATCCCATTGCTCTCTTCTGATCCAACAATCCCACTGAGCATGTCAATGTGAAACACTATCCCCCCTCCTCCTCCTCGCTGCTGGGCAATCCCGCCCGTTAAAGACGGGCTTGTATGGATAGAAGAGGGAAAGCTGTGTGAGAATGGATRCACAAAAAAGAATAAATTAGATCTCCTGTAAGTAAGACATGTTTTAAACATTTTGAACTCATTGCGAGCAGGATTTACCGCAGGGCTTTGGCTGTTTAAAGGGAGGATCTCACATTTTGACGAGGGGTTTCATGAGAAAATTTGAAGAAAAAAAGGAATATCTCACCTGTTGTGGACAGTTCTTTAAATAATGAGGACTGATGAGACAAAAATCACAGTCAAGTCAATGTCAAAGTAGATCATTGCCATTTCAAAACAGCTGCAATTCAAAACTACCAGTAATAATAATGTATAAGATTTTAAAAAAGCATTTGCTTCAAATACAATTAAAATGTTTAAGACTGTGTTTGTTTTAAGACAGCAGTCTCGGACTTTTCTAGTTTTTCAGCTCTATTGGATGTAAACTCCATTTCTCCAAAAATGAGGTTGTTTGAAAAGCGACAATGGGTAAGATGTTGATTATTAACCATCTTTCAAGGTGGCAGTCAATCATGGAACTACCTCTCGTGAATCACGGAACAGATTTTATTKTGCATCTACAGTACAACAGGTTAGCTTTTGGAATCAGTTATTTCAATACGACTGCCTTAGCCAACTGACTTTAACAAACACAAAATGCTGATAACTCAGTCAAGTTTAAAAATTGTAGTAGAGGCTGAAAGTCATTCACAACACATACTGTAGTTTTTTGACTTTAGGAAACACAAAACTGTATAAGTCAATCAACTTTACAGCCACCGAACTCAAACTTACTGTGGCATTAGCTGAGTGCCATCCCCATCACAAATGGAGCACCAACAGTTCTTTAAAAACAAGTGTGATCATGCATAAAGTTGTTTTCAAGATTTAACCAAAGTGAATGCAAAGACCTCTGTTTTAAAGTAAGATAATCTTAGTCTAAAAATTCTGGCATGAGTGACAGTATATGCGGCATTCCTTTAAGGGATGTTAGTCTTTTAACTGGGAATGTAAATTCAAAAAGAAGAAAAGCTTCACTTATAACTAGTTCACACAGCAAGATAAATGGAAGGATGTTTGGTTCAATTTTACCATCTTAAGGAYGTTCTGATTATTGTGATTGCACTAAAGATAATCTCATGAGGTCTTCCTGCTGTGTGTGGTGTGTTAAGAGTGATCTAGTGAAATCAGAAGGACTTTGGGACCACTCCAAACTCATGCCATCTTTGACATGTTGGATTTTCTTGGCCTGATATCCCAGCATGTGTGGTGTTCCCCTGTTGAATGTGACGTGTAGCCAATCAGAAAGCGAGGTGACAGAAACACAGATGGGAATCCAGAATACAGAAGWCAAAGTAACTTTCATGGAGCACCAGAGAGTCCGGTGGATGTCGACATTATCTTTTTATTTTGTGTTTTCTCTGTTAAAGTCCACAAACCATGGCCGATTCTTCCTCGTCTGCCATGTTACCCTGCGGCCTCATGTTTGATCTTGAAAGGTTTTGCAAGATTTCCACCTGACATCTGAACTCTCATGAGTGAAATCTGTTTGTGCGTGTCTGAACACCACACACTGTAGGACGTATGATTTTTTATCGTCATGTGTGGGGTCTCTCAGTCTTTGAAAATCAACCAATTTTAAAACCAGGCATTAGCAGAATTGTGACTATGCTGTCCTGAATGAGTAATAGTGAATGCAACCTGAAGTGGATCTACCAGGAGGTGATTCTCTGGTTCAGTGCATGCATGGGCCCCCTTTGAAGAGTTTTTGGAGGCACCTCTGCAGAACCCCACTTCAAAATGATTAAAACACCCCTTTAAATACAGACTTGCATTGGAAGAAGGATGGAAAAACTGCWGAGAAAAGATGCACAAAGAACATAAATGAGGCCTTCTATAAGTAAAACACGTTTTGAACGTTTGAACTCATTGTAAGCAGGATTCCTACAGGATGTTTATCTCTCTCTTTCACACACACACACACACACCCTTTGTTTACCCAACGTTAAAGAATCCACAGCCTTGTAAATGCTGTCAGATGGCCGATGCAAGTGTCTTTCAGCTTAATACCACCTATATTAAATAGTTTAAATATTTCATAAGGGCTGCTTTTTTTTATTTTTTTTATTTTTCAGAGCCAGGGAGGGGAAATCGTTAGCTGCGGTAAAGTTTCATTAACTGGTCCCCATTTTGCTGCGAGGCAAACTCATCTCCTCTTATTGTAATAAAACAATCTCAGTCTTCCTCTAGGTGCTGCTGCACCCCCCACCCCCACCCC